TGCAGATGTTAAAGTGAATATTACTCCAAAAGCAAATTAGATCTGAACATAAGAAATATGCAAGGCTCTGAAGCGTCAGAAGCATCTCTTAGAAGATTCAGAATGCTGCCTCCAGAATAGTCTGAGCGCTGCCTACAGAAGAATCTGAAGTAGAAGCTACAGAAGAATCTGAAGCAGAAGCTGCAGAAGAATCTGAAGCAGAAGCTGCAGAAGAATCTGAAGCAGAAGTTGTAGAAGAATCTAAAGCAAAAGCCAGAAGCATCTGAAGCAATGAAGAATTCTGTATGAAGAGTTTCAAGCACAGTTACTTCAGAAGACTCTGACAGTACTAATGCTGCCAGTACTGAGGATCTGACCCAAAACTCTGCTCTGAACTTACACACGCTGAAAGCACACTTGCTGCAAAGACTCTGATTCAGCAAACTCTGATGAACATCAGAAGGCTCTGACTAATTTAGACTCTGATGATCCTTGCTGAAAATTGTTGAAGAAGAATTCAAAGTTATATCCGTTGGAATAACCAAACGACTCTTTCCTTATTTATGCTAGACACAAGAACACAGACAAAAAGGATTTCTCTATGCATTCTTCTTCTAGGAAAGGTCACATGATGTGAAGACAAAAAGGCTCAGACCTTTTTGGTACACTATTCTCAACGTGAAAAGCTCTTGGATCACTGTGCCTATAAAAGCAAGTCTCCATTCACCTTCTTCAGTTGACGAAAACACTTGAAAAGAATTTATCACAAAGCTCTCATACAACTTAAAATCATTTACTGAATTATTTCATTGTTCTTCATCTTAAATGAAAAATCACAGTTGTGATAAAGCTTTATTAGAAGCATTTTTTTAACACTTGTATTATTACTACATTTGATTGTAAAAGAACCTTAAGAAGATCCAGTTAGGATCAGTAGTTCTTGAGAAGACTTTGAACAATTGTTCTTAGTGCTTACTATTGTAATCAGTTGATTAAATAGTGGATTAAGTCCTTGTTTGAGAAAGGCAAATCACTCTAGATAGGGTGGACTGGAGTAGTTGAGTTCAACGAACCAGGATAAAAATCCTTGAGTTTTTATTTCTAAGTTTTATCTTCATACTTATTCAACCCCCCTTCTAAGTATTTTCTCACCTTCACACTCATCCGTCTAAGGTCAAGTGCTAATCATAAACATACACCTTATCAACTTGCAATTGGTAAGAAATCAAATATTTCTCATTTAAAGATATTTGGTTGTGTAGTATATGTCCTAATATCTCCACCACCTAGAACAAAGATGGGACCTCAAAAGAGGTTAGAAATATATGTGGGGTATGAATCACCTTCTATTATTAGATATCTTGAACAGATGATGTTTTTCATGTAAGATTTGCTTACTGTCATTTTGATGAAACAAAATTTCCAACACCAAGGGGAGAAAACAAAAAATTAGAAAATGAGATAACATGGTCTATACCCAATTTATAACATTTGGACCCATATAATAAATCATGGGAAGAAAATGTAAAGAAAATTGTGCACTTACAAGATTTAGCACATCAATTTCCAGATTCCTTTACTGATTTGAAAAGAGTGACAAAGTCACACGTACCAGCTACAAATCTCCCAGCTCGGATTGAGATTTCAAATCTAAATTATGTAGTAAGTACATATAAGGCACACTTGAAGCGTTTCGGACCTATGGGATCCAAAGACAAAAATCTCCGAAAAAGAAAAGGGATAGAAAAGGTGAATATGGTTGAAAGTGATCTTGAAAAGACATTAGATAATAATAAATGCACAATTGAAAAACGCGCTCTCGAAGAAGCACAATATGATGATAATGAGATCATTGATAATAAAATGAAAACAAGATTGATCTTGAAATTTCAATTAATTATATTGATACTGGAACTTTGTGGAACCGAAAAGGTATAAATATAAATGAAACATTTTCATTCTCCATTGCATGTGAAATTATGAATGAAAATGATGATCCCGAACCAAGAACTGTGAATGAATGTCAAAATAGACATGATTAGAAAAATTGGAAGGATGCAATAGATACTGAATTAAATTCTCTTAAAAATCGAAAAGTATTTGGCCCCATTACGACTATACCAAAAGATGTGAAACCGATTGAGTATAAGTGGGTTTTAGTAAGAAAACGAAATGAGAAAAATGAGATTGTCAAATACAAGGCTCGTCTTGTTGCACAAGGTTTTTTTTATCAAAGACCAGGAATCGATTATGAGTTAACTTATTCTATTGTTATGGATGCCATTACTTTTTGTTATTTAATTGGTTTATCAGTATTTAACAATCTTGATATGTATCTTATGGATATTATTACTGCTTATTTGTATGGATCACTTGATACTGATATATACATGAAAATCTCATAAGGATTTAAAATACCCGAGACATCAAAACCTAGATAAATGTATGCAATTAAGTTGTAAAGATCATTGTATGAGTTAAAACAATCAGGGCACATGTGGTATAATAGGCTAATTGAATATTTGCTTGAAGAAGACTATGAAAATAATCCTATTTGTCCTTGTGTTTTTATAAGAAAAATAATATATGATTTTGTAATAATTGATGTCTGTGTTAATGATTTAAATATCATTGGAACTAATAGAAAAATAAAGGAAGCAAGAGATTACTTAAAGAAAGAATTTGAAATGAAAGATTTGGGAAAAACAAAGTTCTCTCTTGGTTTACAAATTGAGTATACTAAAAATGGTATATTGGCACATCAATTAAATTATACAGAAAGGGTATTGAAAAAATTTAACATAGACAAAGCAAACCCTTTAAGTACTCCAATGATGGGTAGAACACTTAACATTAAAAATGATCCGTTTTGGCCTAAGGAAATTAACGAAGAAGATCTTAAATCTGAAGTACCATACCTCACTGCCATTGGGGTACTCATGTACCTTGCTAACTATACAAGACCTGATATAACTTTTGCAGTAAATTCATTAGCAAGATTCAGTTCATGTCCTACAAAAAGACATTGAAAAGGAATAAAATATATATTCCGATATCTTCGAGGTACATCAAACCTTAGTTTATTTTATTCTAACAATACAAAACCAGTTTTACTTGGTTATGCAGATGCATGATATTTGTCAGATCCACATAATGCTAAATCACAGACTATATATATATATATATATATATATATATATATATATATATATATATATATATATATATATATATATATATATATATATATATATATATATATATATATATATATATATATATATATATATATATATATATATATATACACACACACACACACACACACACACACACACACGCACATATATGGTAACACTACAATAACATGGAGATCACAAAAGCAAACACTTATAACAACTTCATCAAATCATACTTAAGTAATTGCTCTTCATGAAGCAAGCAAAGAATGTAGATGGTTACGATCGGTAACTAGACATATCTAAGGAGCATCTGATTTATCCATTGATAATAATCTAACAATTTTGCATGAAGACAATGCTGCATGTGTTACCTAGATGAAAGAAGGTTACATCGAAAGCGACAAAACCAAACATATCCCTCCAAAGTTCTTCTCATTCACACAAGAACTTGAAAAAAATAAAGAGGTTAATATTCAATATATCTGTTCATGTGATAATATGACAGATCTCTTCATAAATGCACTTCATACATCAATTTTCAAGAAGTATGTACAAAATATTAGAATGCGTCAACTTCAAGATCTTTAAAGAAGAACTATACGTGCTCTGTTGAGGGGGAGCATCATGTTGCACTCTTTTTCCTTATTAAGGGTTTTTATCCCAATGACTTTTTCCTAATAAGGTTTTTAACGAGACAATATATGTTTTCATAAGTTTCTCCTTGATAAGACTTCGATGAAGTACCGTAATAGATATTCAAAGGGGAGTGTTATATTATTATTATTATTATTAAAATAATATTATTATTTATAAATATCTATCTAAATAGTAATGGTAAATTATTGTAGATAAATAATTTGTCAAAGTTAAAATAGTAAATTCAATTATTACATTAGTCTAATAGTTACATTTTTAACAGTATACTACTACCTTTGGCCAATGTAAAAATGCATCAAAAATTTACATTAAAAGCAAGTAAAATATTTTTCTTTTTTCAATATTTCTATCTAAGTTTAATAGTTACAAATACTTTAATAATTTATATTAATTTATAAATATTAATAAATATTCAAAATCCGTTTTTCTCAACCATGTCAAAATTTTAACGACACTATCAAATTTTTAGTTTTTTCCTTGATTATTTTGGAATAAATTATTTTAAATAACAATTTGATAGATATAAATAATAAAAAAATATTTTTGACATTATTAAAATGTGTGAGTTGCTAGGGAAGGGGCCACATGTAGAATTTTCAGAGTATATTATATATATTTTTAACATATGTATACAATCCACGTTTATAAAAAAATTATAAAAAGTGACCTTAGTGGTAGTATTAAATAAGTTAAGGACATTTCCGTGATTTCCTCTTTCTTCCAGCTCAACAGTTTCGAAGAAACAAAAGCGCTCACTCATTCACTGCTTAATTATCATTATTATCTTACATCTTAAAAAATGAAACTCCAAATTTCATTTAACTTCAATTTCAACTAAAATTTCACAGAATCGGAAACTCTCCACGAAAAATTGCCATACAAGGACAAAAATTTCTAGGTTTCAATTCCAATTTCGGTATTCGTAGATCTGATTTTCGATTTTCCTACTGAATCGCATTTCCGCGTCAATCCAAACTCATCAATTCGCCATAAAAACCTCGCTAAATTTCCGAGTTTCCATTCTCGAAACGGAAACCACAATGTTTCGTTTCGAGCAGGAAAAGATCCGCAAGCGAATTTGATTTTCATTTAACCATTGCAAACTTCAATTTGTTTATTTATTTGGAAATTTGGAAATTTGGAAATTCCTTCGTTTGTGATTTCGATCGTGAAGCTGTTTTCATGGCGGAAGCTCTCTCGGTGATGCCTGCGGCCGTCCTCCGTAACCTCGCCGATAAACTCTATGAGAAACGCAAGAATGCTGCTCTCGAGGTGATTTTTTTTATTTGTGTTGGTTGATTATTGCAATTTGGTGAATTTTGAGGGTTTGGTGATGATTATGTGGAAATAGGTTGAGGGGATTGTGAAGCAGCTTGCTTCTGCCGGTGATCATGATAAGATAACCTCTGTGATTACTTTGTTGACTACGGAATTTACTTATTCACCCCAAGCAAATCATCGCAAGGTAGCTTAAAATTAAAATAATTCATTATTGTTCATTTTTATAACTTGAGCATGTTATGATTTTTATTTTTAATTTAACGAAGGGAGGGTTGATAAGCTTAGCTGCTGCTACGGTTGGGTTGACTAATGATGCTGCTCATCATCTTGAGGTGAGGTTTGCTTACAAGTTATTTTATTTTTGGTCTAGTTGCTAAATGCTGAAAATTTTACCCCTTAAGAGTAAAGATGTGGGATGTCGCGGATTAACCCGTGCCCTTGCAATTAGATGTTGCGGATAAGCCTACGGAGCTGTGTTTGTAATCATACGATTTTGAAAATCGATAAATACCAAGCAACTGGGGAACACTCCATTAAAGGCTAGGTGCCAAGGGGAAGAAGAACCAAGGCACTCAAGTACTGCACCAATTGATGAGTATAAAACCTCTTGGGAAACTCTCCCTTAAAAGCTAACTATCCATTTGAAATTAGAAGTGAGATGAAATTGCGCTTGACATTTGTGAAAGATTAATATCTCCCATATGAATTAGCATGGTAATGACTTAGTTCAATAACCCTTGACAGTTATTATAGCACTTTTTTTTTTCTTCGAAAATTCTGCCTTCATTGTGGTCAGCCTCTAGTCGCCTAAGTGCGGCATTTGGTTTGCCTTCATTGCAGCCTCCAACACCTTCATTGTGTTGGATTTAGGCTCACATTGCTTAGAGATATGACCTGTGAAGTGCTTATAATGCTTGGGCAGCCCCCACCTTACAAGCTGGTTTTGTAGGGAAGAGTTGGTCCCACATTGTCCACGCTTCAGTCTCATTTAGACTTGAAGTGAATGGGCGTGTTGGAAATTCCGCCTTGATTACGGTCCGCCCCTAGTCGCCTAAGTGCAGCATTTGACTTACATAACCCAAATTCTAGATATAATTATAGCGCACTTTACTCACTACCAATTTCACTTTACCTTGTGATGCACTTCTTCTTTTATAGATAATCCTCCACTCTAATATTTATAAACTCCCCGATATGGGACTATTTTCATATTTGAAAGCATGAATTAGAGACTATACCATATGTCGTATCTAGATTCCGTATTACACAATTATTTTTAGCGTTTACTTTTTATCTCTCTTTTATAATTGTTAAATCAATTAGTAATAATTCGTTTAACAATAAGTATATAAAATTAAAGTAAGTTTTATTCCACTTCCTGCTTGCCTAACTAACTTAACACATTATACATTTAGTCTTTTAGTACATTTTAGCTTGTACTTTATTATTTTAAACTAGACTAGGTAAAAAAAATACTGATAATGTGCCTAATATGAAATCCCAATGTACCCGATTCTTCAAGAGTTACCTACTGTGTACCCGAACTCGTACCACGTGCCAAAGTGAATTTCAAACCAGGTGGCTATGGTATGTAGAGATCAATATAAGAAAGTATCTTGGTTCCAAATTTCATATATCCATCAGTTTACGTCATAGAAGGGGTTGAAAAATTCACTTTTTCACGGTGCATTGAATCCTTTCTTTAGTATATGCAGCGTATTTTCCCCTCCTATTGAGTAAGAACATAGAATTTTGGAAATCTACATCATACTAAAACCCCAACTGCGACTGCAAGCCAGTGCATGGAATAATAGGTGTGATTCTCGTATTCTTGTCAAATGTCACCTCTGTTCTTCATGTATCTTGGTTAAGTTGATTTTGGCATGATTTAATATTTTTGGATGGACTTCGAGAAACACAATATTTTAACCTCAAGGGATAAAATTTAAATATGTGAATTTTTATCAAGCTAGAGTATATCTATTTATTTATTAGTTAAAATATCTTCTTGGTAGTTGAGTTTATCGCATGTATCTCCACACATGTGTATGTGAGGGCATGTGTTACATGAGGGCAAGCGTGTTTTATGCACATTTCATGTGTGTTTATGTTTTCATTTTCGTTCTTCTTATCTACATATCGTTTGTTTGATAGCAAATTGTGCCTCCTGTGTTAAATTCTTTCTCGGATCAAGATAGCAGAGTTCGATATTATGCCTGTGAGGCACTGTATAACATTGCCAAGGTGAGGAGTTAATTATGCTTACCTATCTAAAGCTTTTATACGACAATCATCCAATCATCCAATGTGAATGGTGTTTTGATGCTAGGTTGTGAGGGGAGATTTTATTGTATTCTTCAACCAGATCTTTGATGCCTTATGCAAGCTTTCTGCAGATTCAGATGCCAATGTACAAAGTGCTGCACATCTCTTGGATCGACTCGTAAAGGTATAATAAGTTTCTCCTGTACTCCAACCATCCTTTTAGGACTCCTACGTGCGTTCAGACACCAAATATTTTCTGAATATATGTTTATCAATTAATGATTCAAATCCTTTTAGATTAACTATTGATTATAGTTTAATCTATTAACGCAGGATATTGTGACCGAAAGTGATCAGTTCAGGTGCTCTCTCTTCTCACTGTTAAGCTATATGCTACTATGTACGACTATCATGTCTTTCAAAGAGACTTGTCGATATGTGGATCTCTCTACGTAACTTATACCGCTTCATACTTCTTCACTCGCATTTCTTGATATTTCAGTATTGAAGAATTTATACCATTATTGAGGGAGCGCATGAATGTACTGAATCCATATGTCCGCCAGTTTTTAGTAGGATGGATTACTGTATTGGACAGTGTACCAGATATTGATATGCTGGGTTTTCTTCCTGATTTTCTTGATGGTAAGTATATCAATTGACATATGAGCTGTTACCCGGCATTTTTGTACAAAATCAATGAACCATCTAATAATTCATAAATGCCTCAGGTTTGTTTAATATGTTGAGCGATTCAAGTCATGAAATACGTCAACAAGCTGATTCAGCTCTTTCTGAGTTTCTTCAAGAGATAAAGAACTCTCCAGTAAGGTTTCTGCTAATATATTTTTACAAATGCTGTGCGTATAAAGTCTTTTGTGCATTTTATGCGAGTAGCAAATCTTTTCTTATAAGCAGATTCAGATGCCAGTTCTGCTTTTATGTCATTGTTTTTTTCCTGTTATTTATCTGGGGAAGATTTAATTGTGCATCTAATATCCACTTTGTAGGTTTTCCATGTTTAATGATTCATCTATTTGCCGATTATTCCTTTTTTTGTCCATTTTGTGTTGATTAACTATGATGTGCATCATTTCAAGTACTATATTGAAGCAAAAGCAACATGTTTTGTTCATTTGTCATTTCCTGACTCAAGCAGTGCTACTCTTGAAGTCTGTAGATTATGGCCGAATGGCTGAAATACTGGTACAAAGAGCTGGTTCTCCAGATGAATTTACTAGGTTAACAGCTATCACATGGGTAAGTGGCATTGCAATGTTTTGACTTGTTAATCATGTCATTACTGTCATCAGAGTTTTGCTTCGTGTTGTCATGTCAAAATTATTAGTTATTGTTTTGTTGCTCATTATTTTTCTCAAATAATGTCTGCTTTTTTGTTTCAACAGATAAATGAGTTTGTCAAACTTGGTGGAGACCAGCTTGTTCCATATTACGCTGACATTCTTGGAGCCATTTTACCTTGCATATCCGATAAAGAAGAGAAAATTAGAGTGGTAAGCTTGTTTCCTTCTCACTTTTTTCTTTTGCAATTTAATTTTTAAATTCTCCATTTTGTCCCATATTATAGTGTTGCTTGACATGTACAGTTATGAATTATAAATAATATCTGGCTTACTTGTAAGGTTGCCCGGGAAACCAATGAAGAGCTACGAGCAATCAATGCTAATCCAGCTGAAGCATTTGATGTAGGAGCAATCCTCTCCATTGCAAGGAGGTGTAGTTTTTCTAACCTGGAAATAATGCTAGGTTTGAAGTTCAAAATACTTGTAACTGAAAAAAAAAGTTTTTTTTACAGTGGTGAGAACCAGTGATGCTACTGGGAAATAATCACGAGGGTCTTTTTTGTTTAACCAAATCTATTTTGCACTGATATTCTGTGAAGTGATTTTGGGAATGGTTTGCTTGTTAGGCAACTATCTAATGAATGGGAGGCTACTCGAATTGAAGCTTTGCACTGGATATTGATACTCCTAAACAGACATCGTATTGAGGTGACTAGATTATTTTTATCTTCCATTTTGATATTACGGATGCTATATTAATATCCTTCTCGAGCTCTATATCAAAGAGCTCAATGGCATGCCCATTTTGACATTACTGGCTCTGGATTCATTCTGTTGTCTATGCCCTATGTCATAGGCTTTTGATTATAGGTGTACCATCAGTCCAAGAGCAAATGAATCATGAATACTTCAATTTATTGCTTTGGTCATGAGGGTTGAATAACATACAATTTGGCTTCCAATTTATTGTTTGGCTTTCTCTTCCATTTCTCTGAAACTTTATTTTCTAATTGTCAAACCCTATCTGAGTAATAATTTTTTTTCACTCTAAATGAAATGTTTTGTAATGGTGCTATTACCTGTATGCCCATATGATAGATATTTTATTGACAATGACTCACAACTGATTCCTTGTGTTAAACAGGTTTTGATATACCTGAATGACATATTTGACACTCTACTCAAAGCACTTTCAGATCCATCTGATGAGGTAATTTAACTTAATACCATTTTTTTCTTCCATTTTTTAAAATTAAATCAAATAATTTATTTCTGAATATCTTATCAATGCATAGATACATACTAAAATGCCTTGACAAGTAGTTGCAATACCAGTATTGTGTTTGGGAATGTGGAGTAGGTGAGTGGTTTGGGATTTCTATTTCTGATCATAGGTTTCGAACACAAATCTACTTGGTTTAACTGATTGAAAGATGACATTGAGATCTTATCTGTTTAGTCTCTGGTTTGGTATATTTTATGATTCTCATGTATGCTATATTTATAATTGCGGAAACTAGAAATCATTAGCATGAATTGTCATTAATTCATCTGAACTATTTTATATCAAATAGGTTGTTCTTTTAGTTCTTGATGTTCATGCATGCATTGCAAAAGACCCTCAGCACTTCCGACATCTTGTCGTTTTCCTTGTGCACAGTTTCAGGCTAGATCATTCTCTTTTGGAGAAGTAAGCTATTTTTCTTCATCCTATCCTATGCGTTCTTCTAGTAACATAATTATGCTTTCATTAAAATTTCATTCTATACAATTAACTCCAGGCGTGGTGCTCTTATAATTCGCCGGCTTTGTGTGCTTTTGAATGCTGAGAGAGTCTACCGTGAACTTTCAACGATATTAGAAGGAGAATCAGATTTGGATTTTGCATCAATTATGATTCAGGTTTGTTTGACTTTTCCAGAGCTAAATAAAAGGCTGCATTGGACTTCAAAGTTGCTGTTTCATTAATATGCTGTGTTTAGTGGATGGCAGAGATAGAACTATCTGCATTAATGGGAAGCATTTAGTTTAGCTAACTAAAATTGAACTCCAATGAAATTGGAATTGCAAGATTGCAATGCTCATGGATTCTGCTATTTGATGGAAATTTGTTTTTGTTGACCTGATAATGCTGTACGGTTTATAAAACTGGAGAGAAGTTAACACCTTTTCTTAATATATCTAGCCTAGATGGTTTTGGGGTCAATAGGCCTGGGACACTATTGCCAATATTACTTTTTGTTGCCTTCACTTCATTGTTATTTTTGTTTTTGTTTTTCACTACTCTAAAACTCAGACAATCCTATGTAGTGATACGGTATTCAGTATATGTTTTTCTTCCCTTTGATTTTTTTTTTTCAGGCATTGAATTTGATCTTACTTACATCATCAGAATTGTCTGAGATTCGAGATCTTTTGAAGAAATCACTGGTAAATCCTGCTGGGAAGGACTTGTATGTTTCTTTGTATGCCTCTTGGTGTCATTCTCCAATGGCAATTATAAGTCTCTGCTTCTTAGCTCAGGTATATATATCTATAGAAAAAAATATATTTTGACACACAATTGGTGTCAAATTTTGACAGTTAGCGCAATTTTAATATATGATTAATCATGTTTAGTGGATGGTTGGTGAGTATAACAAAGTGACATAGCTTATTAACCATCAACTAAAACAATTAAGCATGATTTTGAATTATATTCATTAATCATCTAAGTTGTGTTTAAATATACATGATTTTTCAGGTGTTGATGTACATGATATTATTAATCATGATTGTGTTCAAATATACATTTGAAAATTGTAGTTAATGACGCTCAAAATCGTGGTTAAATGTGTCCGTTAAATGATTAATAAGTTGCAGCATCTTTTTATATTTATTAACCATCCACTGAACGTAATCAACCACACATTTGAACTGCGTTAACTATCCAATTTGATGTCAAAATTGTGTTGAAATAACAACTCATTTAGAACTTGTCTTGTTTATTTGTTTCCATTTAAGTCTTTCTTTCTCTAGCACATGTGTGCAATTGGGGACACACAAACAAATTTTTTAGCTTTAGCTTTATTTTGATAATGCTCCCAAGTGTGTATTATTAATTTTGCATCTTCCTCAACAGACTTACCGACATGCAAGTACTGTGATTCAATCTCTGATAGAGGAGGATATAAATGTCAAGTTTTTGGTCCAACTGGATAAATTGATTCGCTTGCTGGAAACTCCAATCTTTGCTTATCTTAGATTGCAGGTGCTTAATCAAAACAGACTATTTTTCATCTGTGTATTTTATTTTTATGATAACACCTTTGTACTTCAGTCTAGTAAAATATGATTACTACGGAGATGTCATTGTTTTTAATAGTTATCGCTAAAGAATAGTTTTATTTTTCACTGGCTTCTCATGTATCTAGAACTTAAATTTTGCAGCTTCTTGATCCTGGAAGATATTTATGGTTATTCAAAGCATTGTATGGTCTTCTGATGTTGCTTCCTCAGGTATCTCCAATTAGTTAGAGTACAATTGAAAAAACTTCATTAATAATTGCATTGATAATTGAGAGTCATTCATTTTAGGACAATTTTATTACACCACTAATTGTAGGACGGAAAGAGTGTTACCTTGTGTACTGGTGTATATTATCCATTTTAAAGATGAATGCAGTTTTTACTTCACTGCAGTTATATAGCAATTATATCAGAGGAAGGGATGTGGTATATTATGCATTCCCTTCTCTTTGAACATCTTTCACAAGACATTTAATATGCCGGTATAATAGTCCTTGCCTGTAAACAAAAATATTCAATCTAGCTGTTCAACTTTTTGAACACATGGGTAACTAAACATGCATATACGCATTTAATGACATATCCAGTATTTTTGATGTCTTTTCAGAATCTACCTTTATAAGTTTTGAATTAACGGTATATCTTGATTCTTAATTTTACACCACCATGCGGTATATCTTGATTCTTAATTTTACACCACCATGCAGCAAAGTGCAGCCTTTAAGATACTAAAAACTCGTTTAAAAGCTGTGCCGTCATATTCTTTCAATCGCGAGCAATTGAATAGAATGCCTTCTGGGGATTACTACGAATTTCTTCCTCAGATGCCTGATGAACATGAAAAAAAAGATGGTGATGTAACTGTAGACGGTGGGAGCTCATATAGTAGATTAAACTTTACTGAAAGGTTAAATGAGTTTCAGGAAATGCAGAAGAAACATCGGGTTCACACTAAATCACAAAGAACGTCACGCAGTTTATCGACTTCATTACCAAAGGTTGCCGGCTTCTTCATTCCGTGTGTAGATTTTATATCATTACAAAATGTTTAATAGTATAAATTATTAGTTGAGGGAGGCTGTGCCTGCTTTCAGTCAGACTTTATTCCTTCTGATTCACCCTGTTTTCTGATGTCATTATTTGCACTATATGCAGGAGGCACAAAAAGAGGAAGAGCCACAGAGACATCAGTCTATTGATCTTAATGTTCCTCCTTCAAGATCAAGGAGAAATTCAGCGCAACTACAACGATGATTCTAATGCTGTTTTTAGTATTGCATGTGAACTTTGTGAGGGATCGGGTATGATTTTGTAAAATTGTAAATCATAGTAGTGCGTTATATTCTATTTGTTAGAGGTTGGGATGGTGAAGATTGGGTTTTGGAATCAAGATGAAGCTTGGAAGTTTTCTGAGCTACTCCTTTGACCTTATAGAATGTGATGCCCACGAGGTTCTGTTATTTTTTGTTGAAAACCAGAGCTAGACGGAAATATATCTAGTAAGGTTACTTACTCTCTCTGTCTGTCAATAAATATATCACATCTAAACTATGTGCGATTCTTAAAAAAAGATTATTACTTCATCCATTCTCGGGGAAAAGATAAGAATATTACACGTTATATTATGTGTCACGTTAGAAATAATGTCTCAAATATGTGGTTTTATTATTACTATCGATCAAATTAATATTAGAATTATTACTATCACTTTAAAATTCAATTCTACTTAAGCATTTTACGACAATAGTTAATTTTTGTTGGTTACTATGGTTAGTTTTGAATTTTTTTATACTTTTGATTTATAACTTCTTAATATGTATTTGAAGTACAGGGTGGGAATGGATTTAGGAATTAATTTAACATTGAAATATATTCACAACTAATTTGACTTTACTTAACCACCCTCATATCTTTCCTGTAATTACATGTGCTTCTCAACGTAACCCAGCACCGTCATTTTAAAAAAATTCAATATATTCACTGGCTCTTAAAGTCAGGTTTTTTACGAATTAATCATTTAAATTTAAGTGTTTTAAATAACCAGTTAGTATTTTTAGATGGCAACAAATTAGTAAGTTACAAGAAATTTGTTTCAGTTAACAAAATACTAAGAGCACCTCCAATGGTGCAACCCATTTTTGGGTTCTTTGTGGGACCCACTCTTTTAAAGCAATTCATTTAATTTTTACTCCAATGGTGCAACTTCAAAGAACCCATATTGGGTCCCACCACTTTATTTAAAATATATTATTTATATTAAATTTATTTTATTTAAAATTATAATTTAAATATTTAAATTTTAATTAATATAAATACAAATTAAACATAAAATTAAAGTTAAACATAAAATTGAAAATAATAATTAAAATTAAATTTAAATACATGTCACATAATTAAAAACAATAAAAATAAATAACATCACATAATTAAAAACAATAAAAATAAATAACATCACATAAACAAATGTAATTTGAAATAAAAAGATGAAAATTTGGCCTAAACAAATGTAATTTGAAATAAAAAGATGAAAATTTGAAATAAAATGATAATGAGAAGAAATTGTTGGAAAAAAAATTAAATATTTATGAATAAAATGATGAAATTGTGAGAGAGAAATTTGAAATTAAAGAGCAAATAAAAAGGAGAGCAAATAGGAATAAAAAGGAGAGAAAATAGGAATGATATAAATTTTTTCCAACAAACCTATATTTATAATAAATAAAAAAGTTAAAAAAATAAAATAAAGCTAAATGATTATTTTAATAATAAACCAAATGAAGAACCGTTGCTTATGTTTGTAACGTTCTACAGCTGGAATAACATTTTGTTGACATTTTCAATGCCAAGCTGGCAAACCAATTTGAAAAATCACCGTTGGAGTTGGTCTAAGTTAAAATATACATTCTCCGTTATTACGTTAAAAAATGAGATTCAGATGCGTGTGAGATATGTTTTCGATGCGGTTGAACGAACGGATTTTATATGGTTAACACTCAAATGTTTAAGTGAGCGAATGAATAAGTAGTTTAAGTTAACACTCAAATGTTTAAGTGAGGTATGTTTTCGATCCGGTTGAACGGATGAATTTTATATGGTTAACACTCAAATGTTTAAGGGAGTGAATGAATAAGAAGTAGTTTAAGTTAACACTCAAATATTTAAGTGAGTGAATGAATAAGAAGTAGTTTAAGTGTGCTAGTAAATAAAAATATTTAAATTTAGTGCGTGCAAAACTTTATATAGTCTAAGCATTTAGAAGTGCTCTGCTTAATCCGTTAGCATGGAAAACAAAGCTCACACTATAGATAGTTTATGCACTTAGAAGTGCTCTGCTTAATCCGGTTAGCATGGGAAACAAAGCTCACACTATGGATAGTTTAGGCACCTGCTTAATCCGACTAGCATGGGAAATAAAGTTCACATTATGGAGAGAGTTGATGTGGATTGCTGTCAAATTCAAGTGGTATTTTAGTTAAATTTTCTCCAAGTCCTTATGAATGAAAAAAATATCAATAAATAGGGCAACATAGCTTATTCCTCGTCGCCGACTAGCTTACCATCCACTGCTTCCTTCTCCTTGTTCAACAATTCCCAAAGAATCTCCACACAGGAGCAGAACAACTCTAATTAGTTTAAAGCATTCTGAAAACTGGCTTCATAACACAAATGCTATCGTCGAAAGGGTCTTCAAGGTATTTCTTAAATTCCACTAGACGATTCTCATAAGCCTTCACCTCTTTGGAGATGCCACCCTTCTCTTTCTAGAGGACAACCTCAACCTCCGCCACCTTGAAAGAAGAATAAGACATAGTTTCTCAAGCTTCTCCCAACTCCTTATCATTCTTATCCAAAGAAGCTTGGACCTCTGATAACACTATTTTAGTTTGTCACATTGATTCATTTTTTTTTAGGATTTTAGTTTAAGTTTAATTAGGATTTGTTTAAACTAACTTGTTTTAGTATGTTTTTACCTTCAGCACACTAGGTGTTCTTTTATGGTTTTTTTTAATGTGTTTTTGTTTTAAAGAAAATCTGATAAAGGCAAATTGAGGTATGACACCTCATGACTGAGTCTGGAGTAGAAAGAAGATTAAAGAAAAGAAGATGTTGATTCTCGTTATCATCAATTCACCAAGAGTTTGGAAGGATTTTATCATTAGGGCACACATGACAAAGATTTGTGTAAAGAAAGAGCTAGAGCATAAATATAAGAGCAAAGAAGCTTGAAGATAAAAGGTAGTACGGTGGAGACCACGCCTGCAAAAACGCATCTTGCACCCAGCCACCTGCGGTCTGCTCTGCGCAATTACCTGCTACAACAGCCTGCCAAATACATCTTATCTCCCATTGTTGTCTGTACTGGATAACTTGCTCACAAAGGGAGATTGGACAGCTGGATATTTTAGTGGTTTGATATGGGCTGAACCTTATTCCTATCAAAGGCCCATGATCCAAGACTCACCAACTTCTACTCTCACACTCAAGTCTATAAAAGTAAGCCTTACACATTGAAGAAAGGGAGCTGGAGATTTTCACACACTCATATTTATTTTCAGTTTAGTTTTATTTCACTTTGAGGGTTACGAAAGATTTAGAGAGTTTTCTTCTTCTCATCTAATCTTGTATTCACTGCTTGAAGCTGTTGTGACTGAAGAGATCTGTTGTTGTTTATCCAACACAAGGGATCTTCAAGTTACTATTAGGTTGTCATTTCTTTTACATCTTTTTGCTAAGAGTATGTTTTCCTGTAGTTTCATCCTAGTAGTTTGTACTTAACTCATTATGAGTTAAACTCTTGTTTGATGAACAAAGTGAAGTTAATATAAAGTTGTTTTTATGTTGAAATGATGTGTTGATTAGTATCTTATTTTGTTATGTGTTTTTATTCTATACACATGTTTCTTAGAATGATCAACTTAAAAAAAGGTACAAGCTTGTTGTTGAGAGAGATCCAACAACGAGTGGATTTCATAACAAAAGTGGTTAATAAAGTAGGATAGAGATATTCACTTAATTTAGCCTGCTTAGAGATAAAAAGCTAAGGCTATAAAGATTTTTAGAATTAAAATCAGACGTATTTTAGGATTATAAGTAAGGCTTAGAGAATTGTTCTCTTACCCTAGTTATGCATGCTTTGATGTTATAGAGATACACTACTAGATCACGTTCTGACCTTTTGAGGCACGACACTTCGCATCATGAATACATTTCAGAAATAATATATTAATGGATCTTAGCTCATCAATCACTTTCTCTGATATTTTATTCCCTTTTTATTTAGTATTTTAAGTTGTTGTGTGAACCTCTTGCTGCTTATTATCATTAGTATTTTGTTACCTTACTCATACTTATTTTAAACAAAGGTTGAATACTTATAGTTCAAAGCTAAATCAGTTTCACTCCCTATGGTTACGATCTCTTTACTTTATCACATGCTGTAATCAAACATACATGTATACTTGCATGTGACACATTTACTTTAAATCAATATCAAAAAGTAAACACGTAAGAAAGCAACAAGTTTTTGGCACCGTTGCCTAGGAGTGTCAAGATCTACTTTGAACTACTGTATTTTTGTTTAAAAATTATATTTGAGCCTTTAACGTATTTTTTTGCTGTGATTTGGTGTCACAACAGGCTTAAGCTATTGCATGCGTAGGTCGTTACAACCAGTTTACAGTGGTTATCCTGAACCTGAAAGAATTCTAAGAGCATGAAAGAGATTTTTGCATTCTCAACAACTATCTGGAAATCCTTCAACATCACCTGTGGCTGAACCAGAGGTTGAAGTGCATGTGGGAGATATAGATGAAGAAACTTTGTCATCATCATCAGACGAGTCACAACACGAAGCTGTCATGGTTGAGCAAGACATCATTGGCATTGCCAATGACAGGGCGCGCAACATTAGGGACTATGTTGTCTTTGATCCTACGACCATGAGCACTGGTATTGTTAGACCAGAGATCACGACACCACATTTTGAATTCAAACCTATGATGTTCCAAATGCTGCAAACCACTGGTTAATACTCAAACTCTCCTCATGAAGATCCTCACTTGCACTTGAGACAATTTCTAGATGTTAGTGATAATTTCAAGATTCTCGGCGTGACTGATGATGCCTTTAGGTTAAGGTTGTTTCTATATTCTGTAAGGGATAGAGCCAAGAGCTGGTTAAATTCCTTGGAACCAAATTCCATTTCTACATGGAACACTTTGGCAGAAAAATTTCTGGCCAAATGCTTTCCTCCT